ATGAGATGCAGGGGAACAGGAAAGGCAGTTTAGTAGGAAGGCACTGTGAATGATCAAAATACTGCTCAGTTATCAAGGTAAAAATTACTAATTTACATTGTTAATATGATGTTTAAATACATTGTGATAGGGAATTCCCTGGCTGTCCAGTGGTTAAGACTCTCCCCTTTCACTGCTGAGAGCACAGGTTCGATTCCCTGGCCAGAGAACTAAGATCCCACAAGCTGCATGGTACAGCCAAAAAAATAAAAAAATACATTGTGATATAACAAAGTATATATAAGGAAATTGGCAAAAATAACATTTCACCAAGAATGCCTAAACATAACTTATTCAGAATATAAATCCCGCAATAGGCCTCTCTTTAAAAGGATGGTAGGGATCAAAGACAATTTTGCAAACATTTCAGCCTAAGACAATGGTGGTAAAATTAAGAATTAAAGTTTAGTTTCTCTAAACCAGCAGAGATGTTAACTTGCTAACTGTTCAACAGAGAACTTATATCAATGCAAATATAAGAATATCAGAAATTATAAAAAGGAAAAGTAAAAGGTCCTAAAAGCAATACAGAAGGAGATGGAATATTAAACCTAATTTGCTCATATAAATTCTTAAGTTCAAAAGAACAGCAAAAAAATCTAGTCAAATATTTTGAATTGTGGAAACTCAGCTTTGTTTTTCACGTGCCGTATCCTTAATTTTTAAGAAGCTCTGGGGAAAAAAATCCGAAGCTGATAGAGGTAGCCCAAGTTAAATGCATCAAACACATTTCATGTTAACTTACTCTTTTCAAGCTTATAAGTTCTTGATTCTTTAAGTCTAGGTAATAAACAGCCTGTTTGAAGTTGCCATCTGACGAAAGGTGTCATAGAAAGCATTAATGAGAAAAAATAGGGAAATAAAACCCAAGCAGTATTACAAATTCCTCAAATGAAATTTATAGTATGAATTTGATGTTTTCTTCTTAAACTAGAACAAAATAGATTATAGACACAGAAACTAACTCCTGGTTATTTGTCACTGGCCTATATGTTTTCTATTATATTCTCTTGCATAGTTTCCTTCCATTGAATATCTAATATGTTCCTACTAAAATCATGAGAACCAGACTGAGACACTATTCTAGTGGCCAGGTCTTGGTTCATGGCCACCCTCAGAATCCTCCATTATTCCAAAAGAATCTCGTCCACATTCAAGGAAGAGCAGGGTTCTCCTGAGTGTCCAAACAAACAGAATCAGAACCCACCTAAGTCTGAACGCTCAACATTTCTTCTTTCCTTCAGTAATGCTAGGACACAAGAACCTATGCAGCCACAAGAGACAATAAGGAATTCAAGTTAGCTTCTATCCCAGGCAGTGGAACCAAGCAGTGCTACAGCCAAGCCCAGTGTTGACACCATCCTGCCAGGACTGGAGATACTTTTGGATTCCAAAGACACCAACTCTCCCAGACGTGGGGAGATGAGTGAAATATTTGAGACTTGGAAGAAAGTGTGAAAAGCAACTAAATGCTTACCATATAAGAAAAGTAAGTGTGCTGACTCTGATCCTCTATCAGGCAGTGACCTGAAACCTATTCATTTGTCTCTTCAAAACTGATTTTTTAATCTATAATAGAAAGAATGAAGTGACACCTTCTACTCTGAGGCTCTGCTCAAAATGGAAATTTGTAAAGTTACCCGTAAGTCAATATGAGAAAAGCAAGTTTTATCTGTATCAAGATGGTAATTTTTTACCCATCAGGTTAGCAAAAATCAAGAAGTTTAATGACAAACTGTGTTGGTGAGGGTGTGGAGAAATCGTCATGTAATACATTTCCGATAAGGGTAAAAATTGTACAAATTCTACTGAAGTCAATTTGACGATATTTATCAAAATTACAAACGTACATACCTTTGACTTAGCAATCCCACTTCCAAAAATATATTCTATAGCCATACTTGAACATGCAAACAGTGTATATATAGAGTTATTTACTGTACCATTTTTTCAAAAGATCAGAAGCTACCTAATTGTCCATTAATCTGATTAAATTTTAGTATATCCATACATTGGAAAATAGGTGGCCCTTAAAAAGAAATCCAGAATAGCCAACATAATATTGAACAAAGTTGGGAGACTGAAACTATCCTACTCAAGACTTACTCTAAAGCTACAGTAATCAAGACAGTGTGGTATTGAAGAAAGAGTAGATAAATAGGTCAATGGAACAGAATACATAGCCCAGAAATAGACCCACATAAATGGAATCACTGATATTTTACAAACAAGCAAAGGCAATACTATGGAACAAAGACAGTTCTTTTCCAAAAAATGGTGCTGGAACAACTGGACATCCACATGCAAAGAAACGAATCTAAACATAGTCCTTATACCCTTCACAAAAATTAACTCAAAATGAATCACAAACCTAAATTTAAAACACGAAACTATAAAACTCCTAGAAGATAACATAGGAAAAATATCTAGATGACCTTGGGCATGGTGGTGACTTTTTAGATACAACACCAAAGGGATGATCCATGAAACAAAGAATTGGTAAGCTAAACTTCATTACACCTTAAACCTTCTGCTCTGTGGAAAAACAATGTCAAGAGAATGAAAAGACAAGCCACAGACTGGCACAGAATATTTGCAAAAGACACATCTGATAAAAGACTATTATTCAAAGTACACACAGAATTCTTAAAACACAAAAAAACCACCTGATTTAAAAATGGGCCAGAAACCTTAACAGACACCTCACCAAAGATACAGAGACGGCAAAGAAGCATACGAAAAGATGCTCTACGTGATAAATCATCAGGAAATGCAAATTAAAACGAGATACGATTACACACCTATTAGAATAGCCAAAATCCAGAACACTCACACCACAAAATGTCGGTGAGGGTGTAGAGCAACAGGAGTGCTCCTTCCGTGCTGGTGGGGATGTAAAATGGCACAGCCTCTTTGGAAGACAGTTTGGCAGTTTCTTACAAAACTAAACATATTCTTACCACAGGATCCGGCAGTTGCGCTCCTTGGTATTTACACAAAGGAGTTGACAACATATGACCACACAGAAACCTCCACATGAATGTTTATAGCAACTTGATTCATAATGGCCAAAACTTGGAAGTAATCGAGATATCCTGCAGTAGGTGAAGGCAGAACACAGGATGTTTAGGGCAGTGAAAACACAGTGTATGATATCACAATGATGGATACAGGTCATTACACATTTGTCCAAACCCACAGAATGCACAACACCAAGAGTTAACTGTAATGTAAACCATGTAATCTAGGTGATTATCGTGTGTCAAAGTGGGTCATCAATTGTAACAAATGCACCATTCTGCTGGGGGTTGTTGGTAATGGGGTGTCTATGAACAGGTGGGGCAGGGAGCACATGGGAAAGTCTGCACCTTCCCTTCAATTTTGCTGTGTACCTACAACTGCTTTTTTCAAATAAAGTAAAAAGAAAAAAGAATTAAGAAGCTCTATGTGCTAATATGGAATGATATAAAAATATATTGTTACAAGAAAAAATGCAGAATCATATGGATGGTGCATTACCATTTGATTCTTAAAAGGAAGAAAGCATCCATATGTATTTGCTTGTATATATATATATCTTTTTGAAAAAATACATAAGAAACTAATAACACTATTGGTCTATTAAAGAACTGGATGGCTGAAGAACAGAGGTAAGAGAATTTTCACTAAATGCCCTTTTAGCTTTAAAAAAAAATTTACACATGAGAATGTATGATCTATTCAGTTATTCTTTTCTAGAAAAAGTTACAGAGTAATAAGAAGAATTTTGTGAGGAAAGAATGTTTTATTTACTTCACCAAATTTGAGATGAGAAATTTTTCAAGAAACTGCTGAGAGCTGACCCTGACTTGAGTTTTTGCTTTTGATTGAAACTGGACACTAAATAGATTTCACATTTCTCTTTTGACAAGTAAAAAAGTTGGTACACAGTTTGTGTTCACTCTCTTCCAAGACTGTATTTTAATGATTTACCCAGTAAACAGAACACTACTTCCAATTCACAACCTATTTCAAACAAGAAAAGCTGTGGTTCACAATAAAACATTTGTACACAAGTTTTTTTTTTCCTTGTTCAATTTGAGAAGAAAAGATTCCTCCGACATTCACATTCAGACATTGCTCAGCAAAATAAAATCATCACATTATAGGGATTTCTCTATGGGTAAAAAAAATGGGGCGGGGTGTGGGGGGCTTTCTGGGCTTCACTCCATAAACACACTGCCAGCATAAGACAGGTTTAGTGACTCAGGAGTGGGACAGGTCTGATTCCCATTGGCCCACTGAGTCTGGGGGCAGCCAATACCTGATGCTCTATGAGAGGGAAGAAAACCATGAAAATTCAAAACAGACCTCCCCAAGCCCTGTTATTGAAATCCAGTGTTAAAAAAACATTTAAAAATGACTAAAAAAAAAAAATTACTAAACGTGAAATCTGAGACTTAAGATAGTGAAAAAGAGAATTTCTCTTCTTTGAAATCACTTCCCAGTTTCCTACTTCTACCACTTAGGACCCAGGAGGTGGTTACTTATTTCTTTATTATTGAAACCCAAGTATTGTCTTTCTTACTTTAATTTTACTTATTAAGTTTCAAAATCTAAAGGCATAATAAAGGTATACAATGAAGAGTTTACCTCTGGTATCTGTCTCACAACTAACATTAGTTTCTAGTGTACCCTTCAAGAAATATTCTATATGCATGGAAGAAAATCCTCCCTTCTTTTCTCAACCCTCCCTTTCTGTTTTACACAAATGGTTGTATGGAACCAACAGTCTTTACATTGAAATAAAAATCAAAGGATCTTTTCATAATACTAACTCCTTTTTCTATAAAGAAATCTTTTTTAAAAAAAATTTCTTTTCAATCCCATATCACTCAAAGTCAAGAAACGGTTGCTTGGCAAAAAGAAATAGGAGGTCTAGAGAACTAAATAACATACAATTACACAGCAAATCAACTCACTTAACTTCTGGTCCAGGATTCTGACCCCTGAAAAAAAACATACAGGTCTTCAAAGTTCCCACCCGAGGTTCCGCTAGCACTCCACGGAGACCTGTTCCAAGATCCAGAGGCTCCTTCAGTTAAATTGAAGAGGGAGAGAAGAGGAAGTGGGAAGCTGAATTCAAATGTTTGGTTCTGGCGGACTAGCAACAAGGAAGTGAAGGCAGATCTAAGAGAAACCATGATTGCCTTAGATCAGTTAATCAGTAACTCACATGCGATAGCACCAAACTAGATCTTTCTGCCTTCCGTGGCAATTTAAAGCTAAGGCATGGGCACCTGAATGGTTGGACAGGTTCTTAAGTCCCTTGCTAAATTCAGAAGACCGAGCCACAGAGAAAAGAGGCTGCTAGTAGGATAAGACACAGAAAAACTCATGAAGAAGGAAACTCAGAGCGCTCCAGGGCCCTATGCGTTGCCTCAAGCGAGGCTGGCATCCAGTCTTCTGAAACCCTCCACCTTTTCTTCTCCCCTGCAGTCAGACATAGGGAGAAAAGGCGGCCCAGGATAGAGGTGTGCTTTTAAGGTGTGGTGTACTAATAAGGTCAGTAGACCAGGTGTCTGCTGGCAATGTCAAGGTTCAAGTCCCATTTCAGCTCTGTGAGTGTGGACATTCCTGAGCCCCAGTTTATTCATGGGTAAACCCACTCAAAAATACTGCAGATCTGAAACCAGCTTAGTACAGTCTCAACACCACAGCCAGCGTGGTTTTAGAAGCACCAAAACTCCAGATTCTAGCCTAAATTTAGAAATTTTCAGCAACTGTGCAAGTTGATTCAGGTCTCCAATTTGAAAAGCATTACAGAAAGACACCATCTGATTCTATCCAGCAGTAAAGTTTATGCAAGATAAAAATCAACATCTAAGTCTTGGGATGCCAGAAAATACACATTAAAATCATGAGGGGTCCTCTTAGACCCAGCACAATTTGACAACACAATCTCAAAGCGATAAGTGGGCCACTTTGATGTGAAAAAGCATCTGCAGAAGAGAATCTAAACACCACTCACTTCTAAACAAATAGCCAACACAGTTTATAAACAAAGTCTTGAATGTGTTTCTGGAACCAGGCCTGAATTTATAACCTCCTAAACTCCATAGAGGGAATGCAGCTTCTCCACTCACCAAAAAGCTGAACAGAAAAACCTCTAAATGTCTATTTTGATTGGCATGGTGAGTTTGAAATGAAAACTCAATATTTTTCATAAATTAAGCCTTGCCTTTCTGAGTGGCAACATGATGTAATAGAGCACGTAGGCAGACAGACCTGGGTTCAAATTCCAAGACTATTCCATACTCACTTAGATCTTGGGCAAGAAACAAATCTCCAGGTCTCACTAGTAACATGGGATAATAATTCCTGCGTCTTTTTATGAATTTTAAAGTGACCTAAAATAAATGCCCAGGCACATGGTTGGAATAAATCAATGTTTATTTCCTCCTTTACTTCCAGAGTCCCTCGTTTAAGATATTTACTGGACAATAACGAGAAAAGCTGCTCTACCATGTATTAAATCCTAATCATGGCAGAATTCCTCAGGCCAAAATACATACTGAAAAATATCTTTTGCGTTTATGCATGTGAACCATATACATTCTCATGACATACACGTGGTTATAACCAAATATCAGAAGGTGCCCACTGTCAATTCCACTCAGCGAAATTAGATTAAGTCATAAAACATTGCTGGTGTTTGAACATTTTATAACTACAACTATAGCAAGTTCATACGGTTACAAATACCTAAAGTCTAGAGCAAGGATTTCATATCTGTCCTCCCTAGATTTCCTAGAAACAGCAGGATCATTAGAAATCAGAACATTTTCACCTGGGTTCTTTCATTTATTAGCTGTATGACTTTAAGAAAATCCTGTGGCAACCTTAGGCCCTGGTGTCCTGATTCACATAATAGTAGACGTATTTTTCTGCTCTGTAATTTCATGATGATCATGAGGTACAAGCATTTAGTTTAGTGCATCTAAAATGCAGACTTGATGAGAATTTTTTTTAACTTTGCTATAAAAGTTTTCTTAGTTGTCCCTCTGTGTTCATCCTGTCCTCTTTTACTTTGAAGCATGGAAGACAGAGACACTGAGGATAATAACACAAAGCTGTGTAAACTTCTTCATGGGCTTCTTAAAATGCACTTCTAATTTGGCACACCCTACCACAGCAGTCCTGGATTTCTCCTTAAACAAAAATCGTCACGGGTGTCAAAGAGATGTGAGTGAGTGTCCACTGAACTGTGTCTAAATGATTTTCCTTGTGAGCAAAGCTGGCCTGGAATAAGCCCCTACCAGTAAGAGAACATGCTTCCCAGGCCGAGGAGGCATTGTTCAAAGTAATGAGTTCTGCACCACTTGGGCCACAATTCACAGCTGAGTCTGATTTTCCAAGACAGAGAGCAATAACCAAATGGGGATGATCTTCAGCAAGCTTCTCTGAGCTGATAATAAAAGACTCATGAGGTGGTGAAGGAAAGGAGGCTACAGTCTCCCTAATCTTCTGTGTCCTAGGAGTGACAATAGGAAATGTTGGTCAACCTTGGTCAATATTATGCCAGAGGTTTGTCACTGCTGTAATGGATTTCAATAGAGTCTGAACTCATGAAGAATGCCTAGAAATTATTCCAGTTCAAAAGTTAAAACGTTCAAATGCCCTACTGTATTCCTTTTATCCGTCTACCATAATTTTGTATCCTTTTTTTTTTTTTTCTGCTCAGAGAAATGATAGTCATGATCCTTCAAGCATGCAGGCCAACACTATTCTTAGAAGGGAGCTGCAGGAGGTTTATTATGTCGTGAAACACGGAGCCAGAACAAAGGACTACTGAATCACTCACCTTATCTTCATCTAAGAAACCTGAGAATTACAGGATTCCTCTGTTGCTCCCAAACTCAGAGCTGCACTTGCCAAGAAAGAAGGTTTTAGGGCCGAGACTACATTACAAAAATGTAAAAAGATAGGTGCACACCATGCTTACCATATATATAAGATTCTTATTTAAAATGCTCAAAAACAATGTTCAGGGTTTTTTTTAATCAGAATTTAAGCATTTGTTTCTGAATCTAGACATCTGATTACTTGGCACTTAATTAAGTGCTCCCCCCTTAAGAATACCAGATAGTATCTGTACCCTGAAAACCTGAAACAGGATTAGAATTATTGCAGAAGTCACGAGTCTCAGTTCATTGAGGACAGAAATCTAGGTTTATTTGTCTATATCATATATAACTAGCTTTCAATAAATATCTGTTGACTAAATGAATAAATTAAGTAGAAAGCATGTAACAGTTTTCCTAGTATATTACATCAAAGCACCCTAACATAAAGCACCTTTATCATATTCTATTTCTATAATTCTATCCTTATATTTAGAAGACTGATTCTAAAAATAAGTTTAACTGATGTTGATGTGGGAAAATGTTATCAAACAGAAGCAATGACTGTAACAGCTTTTATGAAGAATCTGGTGCAGCGATAAATCCTGGCTCTGCCCATCAACCTTCCCTCCCTTTGTCTCATCCCATCGCCACCCCCCAGCCTTCCCCCAAGCACTCCCAATCTCATTATCCCATGATCTGCTAAACTGCAGTTTATACCTCCTGGAACCAGCAGACACACATGTCACTGAGAATTAGGGAACTGGAGGCAGTTACGAGCCACCAAATAGGGTCACAAAGTATCTGAACCTGGAAATTAAGAGGTTTTCTATTTTTTTAATTATGAAAAAAAAAGAAAAATTTAATTGGACATTTTTAAACATTTGAGCTAGATGGACTGCATAATGTCTCGGCATTTATAATGACTGCGATGGGAGAATTTTAACAGCACGTTATTTGCTAATCATCTGAAAAATATTACCGTTGACTTCATTTGCTGATGGTGGAAGGACATTGTCTGAAAACTTCTACCACTAATAAACATTTGCTATTCTTGAAGGCAGATTATTTAAAAATAGGATACTGCAAGACAGTACTCATGTGTTACTTCATCTAAGGTAGTTTTATGCCACACTTTATCCCAGGAAGAGTAACTTCATTTTAAAACTTTTATTAGCAGTTAATTCTAACCAATGTTTAGTTAACAACAACTAGGTATACCAAACACGCTGCCAAATATTGATGCAACCTAAGAAACAGTGAGCCACAGGAAGCTACAGCTCATTCTACATGCCCCTTAAGATGTGTACCCTTGCCAAATGCTAACCTGTGTGTAAACAAATGAAACTTTTAAAAGCGGATGGAGCTGTCAAGACTTACAATTTTAAGGAAAATGACTCTCAATCTCTTAGCAGAAAGCTTGAGGAATCTGACTGGTTCCTATTAAGGCTTCTTGAACATTCCCTGAAGATTAAACCCAGAAGTGACCAAAACGCCGGAGCAACTGGAAAAACAATCACTTCTTCTGGGAAAGCCCTTGTTTCTTTTCTTTGGCATTTTACTTTGGTCCATTTTGGAACGCATCTCGTTCTCGTCAACAAGCCAAAAGGAAGACACAGGTGCTGCCAGTTTGTACGCGCCCGGCTCTCCACCTGCGGAAAGCCGGCACAGGTCTGTCCCCTTAATGCTCAAGAGCAAACACCTGACCAATTTTTTTTTTTAAACTGCTTAACAAGTAAAAATATTTTATTGGTCTCCACTTTCATGGGCTAGAAGGAGGGGGGGGGGGATCTCAAATACTGCCCTAATAAGCAATTCCTCACCTCTTCAGTCTAACATCAAAGTGGTATTGCCGTGGGAGGTGGGAGTCCTCTTTTAAATTTTAACTGGTTATTGTTTGAATGCTGAACTCCTACCGTCAAAATGAGATCATAAACTTATTCCGAGTTACAAACAACAAAGAATAAGTCTGAGGGAGCGCGAAAGAGGGCGCCGCAGACGCCCAACAGGGAACAGGGCTTGGGGGCACGCGGGCTGGCGTCTCGGACTCGCGGCGCGGTCGCCATAGGAACCCCGCGCAGGCGCAGAGCGCGCTGCTGTGTGGCCCGGACTTGCCTCTACCGCTCAGCGCTGCGCCGCTCCGGTGCCCCTGGTTTATTCCAGGAAGGGGCAATGGAGTAAATCCTCCTCGCGCTGAGAGCACCAGGTCTTCTCCGAAAACGCCCTGAGTGGGGTCACCGGGCGCAGGAAGAACCGTGAGACTCCAAGTGTAATGGACACCGCACTCCCCTTGCTGGGAAAGCGGACCTGCTCTCTTTGCGGCGTCTGGCGGTCAGAGACAGGTCCCGGGGGTCCCGCGTAGGGGTGAAGCATCCTGCAACGAGCGATGCTTTACCGTCCACGGGGCGTAAACCCCACTCACCACAAGAGACCCGAGAATAAAATTCTGGCGCGGGCTAACACACCCATTCTGCCGAATTACGGAACCCCAAGACCAGCCGAGGTCCAGTTCTCTGCACAGGGTTTGGGGGATCCCCACTCA